CAATATTTGTCCTCTGAGAGACATTTGATGGGCAGAACTTTTGCAGAAGTGGATGTTTTTCCAAGTTTTTCAGGTAACTTAAGCTGTAATCAGCAAGCATTTTTCCCAAATCACTTTCAGGCTCCTATGTCACTACTCCAGATCTTGAGGCTCTATTTAGCAGACGGATGTTGTCATTTTTATTCCAGAACTAGAAGGCATAGTCCATCTTGTCCTCCTCCACACAGGCATGAGTCCATATCTCTTACCGCGCCATCTCCGACCAATTTCCGTTTGCACCTCAAAAGGAAAGGAGAACACTATTTTGTGAACAAGCACTACTGGAGAGAGGACTGGGGGGAAAGAAATAAAATGTTGGTGAAGTCTAGAGATGGGTAAAGTTGAGACATATCAGTCTGAGCTAGTCAGTCTGGACTCCATTTGTAACTGAAAAAAAAATAGGAGCCTCCATGGAGTGTTTTATCTGGCCTATTTTAGCATGCATTCCTCTGCACCAGCAAGAAAGCCTCATTTGGCTAGCTCAGAGCTGGACTTTTGCTGTTCAAAAGAACCCCAAATGAGCTTCTCTCTTATGGTCAAGAAGTAAAGACTCACTTTAGGTGGGTCCTCCCAGCCCTGTGTTCCTATTTAATGATTATTAGACTAAAAATCCGAGGTTATTGCTAGAGTTGTTGCACACCAAAGAGAAAAAAAAAAAGAAAAACAAACAAGAAAAAGACACTGTCATATTAAGGAAACTGATTTCAGTTTCCATCTAGCAGTCCTCAGTCCCTCTATCTCCGCTGAACTATCAGCACTCTCAGTCCATCAGCACGAAGTAACTTTGTCCCCATCAAAGTGCTTATACTATGATGTATTTGTACACACTCAGATCACATAAATCTCTTCCTAAATCTCACAAGAAAGCTTGAGATTTCTAAAACTCGAGCACTGTAAAACATTTTCTCAGATTTTTTTCCATAGCATCTCCACTGTTGTTTTTTTCCAGTAATGGTCTCACTGCCTACAGAACTAAACATATCCTCTCCACATTGCTTGTTCTTTGCCTGTTGCTAAGAGATATCTTCTTGTTTCCAACTGTTTCTAGAAAAGTATAATCTGAAGCACTCACCAACTTGTGGCTAAGAAATAATAAATACTACTTTGCTATTTAGACTGGGAGGGGAAAGCCATCAGTGGTCAAGAGGCATTTGCTTTCTGTTGTTAGCAACTAAGCACACGTGTTCGCAGTTACATACCTTGGGTCCAGTCCAGCCTCTAAAGCCACATTTAATTCTCATTAGAAATTTGCCTTCCCAGATGCTTAATAAGAAGGAAATGCCTAACGTGCACAGCTATATTTTTGGGGATGTCAAGTTGGATGTAAAGCTATGTTATCTGTCACTGAAATACAATTATTAACAGGCTGGTGAGGTGTTACCTAATGTTGCTTGTGTTCAGTTAATCATCACTAGACTTTAATCTTGGAAAATGGAGATCTGGTCCTTGGAGCAGGTCAGCTCGCTCTAACACAGGCATCCACACTGGGCCTGTGGAAAATCTCTTTTAAGTGTCACTAGCTATGATCTACGGGCAAAGTTCCCCTCCTAAACACACCTTTGAAACCCTTGGGGATACTCGGTGGGGGGGGTATATATGTATTAGGATACTCTTCTCTTTTCAATGTAGCAGTTAGAAATGAGTAGGCTTGTGGTTTAGTCTGAAAAAAATGAATCTCAAGCATAGCCTTAAACAGCATCTAAGCTACCTTACATACAGTAAGGAGATGGGAAATTTTGGAGTTTCATCCCACACTAAGATACAGAAGACAAATTGATCTGTGTCTTATGGTCATTGAGGCCATCTGCAATTCAGTCAAGTCATCTGTATTATAATGTTTTATAATTTGCCCTGATTTAATAAGTATATTAAAAAGTACCAGATTAGTATTTTGATACTGGAAAATTGTTATAAATTAAATATTGTTTCCAATTTAATCATAGATCTTTAGAACTTGATCTGCACTTGTACAGGGTTTGTCAGTGGGTTTTGGACCTACTGCATGAGTTATGAGTCCCTACTTATGAATCCCACTGCAGCACAAAACCCCTCAGAAAAGACAAAAATACTCATTGAAAAAGAGAATTAAGTAGTAACATCTTCTTTATCCACTAGATGGCTTCATTCCCATGAAGATAATGTAATGAAATTCAATTTCATTGATTCTCATCTTGACAGACCGTTCTGTGAAGCTAGAAGTTTCAATTATGCACTTATATGAAACTAACTATTAACTCCATATGTCTACCAGTGAAAGTTATATTGTAAAGAATTCTCTTACCTCTTGGTTCAGGAAACAGTAGAGGACTGCTACAATAAACCCCTAAAGAACAAGGAAAACAAGCAAACAGAAGAAGAAAATAATTGAGTGTTGAAAACGCCACTTGCACTGTTTGTTTTGTGAAACAGTGAGTATCATTATAAATTGGATTATTGTTACAAAACAGGAAATTCGGTATGTACCTCCAGTAAAGTTGATTAACCAGACTATCAGCTAGCTAGTGCTCTCTCATGAAAGTTGGTAGGTGATATATGAATTAGCAAAAACTGGCAAATGACCTTCTCTTTGGGTTATGCTGACAATAGTATGGTCTGCTCTACTACATACTGCAAGCTAATTCCTTAGTGTAAATCAGCAGGGAAACATAGATCTCATAAAGAAGATCCCATGCACAGCTCTCATATGGCTTTTCAGTCAATTTCTATGTCTGTGTTGTATAACAGATACGAACAAAAATACGGTTTATTGAAGATTTTTGGTAATATCCTGAACTGTAATGAGCCAGGAAAATGCTGTGAAGACAGTGGACCTTTCTGACAGTGGACCATAGCAAACAGATACTAGCTGAGGAACTAACCATTTTGTTTAGTTTACTTTTCCTTACATTGTTAGTTAACTTAATGAAGGGCAAATCCAAGAGATGCTCAGGAGTAGGTTTTGCAGAGTGTATTTGGACAGGATTAATCAATGCGGAAGGATAAACAGAATGGGTTAAATTCTCAAGAGGGATAAATTGGCACTACTGCTGGATCTCCAGTGATGCTTGTAGGGCTAGCGATGCCATGCAACCATTTAGGGAGGAATGTTCTCCCCTGATAGCAGTATTTCCTACAGACATTTATAGCAAAAAGGGAGGAAAGCAAAGGGAAGCAGTCTGCTCCTTTGCCTCTACCTCAGGCATGAAACAGTCTAGAGAGTAAGTCAAAGCAGGTTTGTTGGCTGTTCTAGCTGGCACCAAGCTCCTCAATCTGTCCACAGGCTGTGTGTTAAGTGAGAGTAGCTGGGGCATCCAAGGTGCAGCAGGCTTTTTGCCTGTGTGCACAGAAGGTAGAAGAATACAGCATTCCTCAGGCACTGTTCTGTATGGGGCTGATTTCTACATAGTCAAGCACTGTTCTTTATTAGTGCGTCTATGTATCGCCAAAAAAAAATAAAATTGGGTCTAGATCTCCAGCTTTGATCGACCCTGGATGATTTAATGCCAGCTCAAAGCAGCTTGATCTTGACAGAGAAGATGGGGAAGGTCTGTGCACTACTAGCTGTCAGGTAGAAACTGGATTAAAACAGAGAATCTAATAAACCAATGTCTCTGGAGGGAATTTACCTGAAAAGATCCAATACACAACTCTAAATAAAGGCGGACTCCCAAGCTGGTGTATTCCGGAAGAAAGTTGAAGACGATATAATGGGTTCCAAACAATGGAATTAAAAGCAAAGTTGATCTTGAGAGACGTCTAAGGCAGGACACGAGAAAAAGTAAGGTAATATTAGTTTCCTGGGTGAAGTCCAACGCATGCAGTATGCAGAGGTGATTGTCAAAAATTTAAAAAGGATCTAAAAGTCTACATGCAGAGTTCATATCTCTTGGGACTCTAACATTGGACAACAGTTGTCATAAGAAAGTAACTGAGAAAAAGATTTATGATGCTTATTGCCAATCAGCAATACCACATTCTTGTCTTTTCTTATTCTATTTTGTCATTCTGTTTTTCTAATTAAGACTATTGTTCAGGAAAACACAAATCTTGCTTCTTTTTAGCCACTGAAAACTGGAACATCTGACTGTAATCAAATATAGAGGAAGGACTATGCAGGCTCCCTCTATAGTCAATGTACAGACAAAGACGCCTCTGGGGAGCAAATCAGAGATCTGATATGGATTGAGTGAGTGTGTGCCTGTTCTCTCCACTGATAATAGTAAGAAGGCAGACAATGGAACTGATAAAACTGCTTAATATTTCAATGGTTAATATTAGCTGATATTGAATCTCATGCTTTGTCTATTTTTAAGAGGAATGAGCTGAGATTAAGAATTCCTGAATTTTAATCTTGGCCAAACTAGGCCTATCTATAACAAAGGGAGTATTTTTCCTTTGTTTAAAAAGAAAAACACGTACACTTTTATGGATAAAACCATTACTTTGTTTTGTGTTCCATACAATACCTGTACTGAGATGAGTTATTGAAGTTGATTTGCCTGGGGTCCAGTTTTTTCAGCAAAATTCTGATGATGTTGATGAATAGGATGAAATTCACCTGTTCAAAACATTGCGGAAGGATGAAAGGAGGATGAAAAGGAGAGGAGAGGAGAGGAGAGGAGAGGAGAGGAGAGGAGAGGAGAGGCCAGTTACTCTCATGTGAGTCTCTCCAACAATTTTTTTTTCAGTTGTTATGTAATTTGTGCAGGTTCAGTGGGACAAGTGTAAGATTATTAATAGAATTCCTGTTAGAGGCGTTCAAGCATCTTAGTGTGTTGCATTTCTTCTTAAAGAAATAGCAGAACTTGAAAGAGTGAGGCTTCGACTCTGTTAAGCGAACCTTTTTTTTTAATACCTTGCGTGATTCAT